TGCTGGGAGGGGCTCGGCACCCCCTCTTCTCGGGCTGAGGTTTGAGAGACAGGCTCTGGGTGTGTTGCCCAGGACCGAGTGCAGGGCACCCCACAGCTGCCACAGCCTCCAGTTCCTCAGCTCAAGAGCTTACTGCCGGGAGGGGCTTGGCACCCCCTCTTCTCGGGCTGAGGTTTGAGAGACAGGCTCTGGGTGTGTTGCCCAGGACCGAGTGCAGGGGCACCCCACAGCTACCACAGCCTCCAGTTCCTGGACTCAAGAACTTGCTGCTGGGAGGAGCTCAGCACCTCCTCCTTTTAGTGTGGTGATTTTAGAGACAGGGTCTGGCTGTGTTGCCCAGGACGGAGTGCAGAGGCACGGTCATAGCCACCACAACCTCCCGGGCGCAAGTGATCATCTGGCCTCAGCCGCTGAAGTATTTGGGACTTTAGTCCTGACCCTCACGCCCAGGTATTTTTTAAATTATTTTATTTTTGAGGAGATGGGGTCTCTCTGTGTTGCCTAGGCTGGTCTCAACCTCCTGGACTCAAGCCATCTTCCAGCTTCTGCGTCCCAAAATGCTATGATGGAAGGCGTGAGCCACTGTGCCTGGCTGATTTTTAAAAAATTTTGTTTTTGTAGAAACAGGGTCTCACTATGTAGCCCAGGCTTTCACTCCTTCCTTATAGAAGGACGCAATCTCTTACCTTTGTCTCAGAAGAACGTTTTAAAAAGTGAATGAGAGACCTGGGGCCCCAAAGAAAAACCGTGATATTGAAATGCAGTTATCATAACATCCACGATATAGAAATGACTCCCTGGCTGGGCTCGGTGGCTCAGCCTGTCATCCCAGCACCTTGGGAGGCTGAGTCGAGTCGACTGCCTGAGTCCGCAGGTTCAAGACCAGCCCTGACAACTTGGCGAGACCTCATCTTTACAGTAAATCAGAAATTGGCCCTGGGCCTGATAGTGCACGCCTGTAGTTCTGGCTACTTGAAAGGCTGGGGCGGAAGGATTGCCAGAGCCCAGCAGGTCGATGCTGGGTGGCTGTAAGTGTGCCACTGCACTCCAGCATGGGCGACAGAGTGAGACTCCAACTCAAAAAACAAAAAGAAAAGGAGCTGGGCTCAGTGGCTCAGCCTGTAATCCCGCGCCTTTGGGAGGCTGAGGTGAGTGGATTGCTGAGCCCGCTGGTTCAAGACCCGCCTGGGCAGCAAGACCTCATCTCTACAATAAATCAAATAATCAGCCGGGCGTGGTAGCGCATACCTGTATTCCGGCTACTTGGAAGGCTGAGGCGGAAGGATCGCCGGAGCCCAGCAGGTCTAGGCTGCAGTGGCGGGAGCGGCCACTGCACTCCAGTCTGGGCGACAGAGTGAGACTCCAACTCAAAAAAAAAAACATTAGCAATTGAGGGAACATGGCGAGAGGTAGATTGTATAAACATGACAAGTGTGTAGGCTGCACCAGGCTGTACCCTTCTCTGCCTAGAGTAAGCAAGAAAGATATCAGAGGATAATGAATAACATTGGTTGGGCAGATGTGGCACCAAAGTATCACCATCAGAGCTGACAGTGGAGGCAGCCAGGGCCAAAGCAAGAAAGTAAAACAAAGCATAACGTTTCCATCAGTGTACTGTCAGTAGTTTGGCTCAAATCCCTCCATTAGAACTCAGTTTCCTCCCAGGAAGCCCATTCTACCTCTGGGTGCCTTTGTGTTTGGGCTCTTACTGAACCCAAATCTGTTTATTCTGAAGTTTTGTGTATCTAGCCTTCGAGAATGCAGAGGGCAAATCTCTTTCACTGGAGATATTTAAGCACAGCCATCATGGTATGACCCTAGGGGTGAAGAATGAGATGCTCACCTCTACCATTCTACATTTTTGCATGTCTGAAATCA